AATTGCCCCCTGAACAACCCGTACGGTCTGCATGACCGAGCTGCCTAACGGGTGTTTACTTTCTACCTGCTACGATTTTTCGACGATCCTATCCCTGGCATATTCTGTTCAACATTCGATCATTCGACGATCCTCCCCTGCTAGATTCTGTGTAAGATTCAATCATTTGAGCCTTTCGTTTAAAATAGAGCAATGGAAGGGGGGGGGGAGAGGATACAAATATCGATTTACTGATAATGGACATTTGGAGCATAAGACCTTCTACATCGTGAAATCATAGGATAACTCCAATCGTTCATGACAAAACGTAATAAAAATTGTGAATGTAGAGGATGTCGCTGAGCTGCGTCGACATAAATAGCATGCACCAAGGATCACGAAGCAGGGTCCTTCTATTGGTGGCTTTTTTCATGACGTTCTTCGATCCACGCGGCAGTATAAACCGATGCAACCCAATTCTCGCGAAATTAAATGCTACACACTACTATCAATGCCGATTAGTTTCCCGCTGTATATGTATAGACACTATCAGATTATCAATTTATGCCCATCAAATCGGTCGCATTCGTGCCTCTTCCTGTCTCCATTATGCATTTCTGCGTCTGGTTATCGTAATATGCAATTAGTTTTGTTGCGTCATAATGTATCTCCTTATTTACATCCCGGGACGGATGCGAGGCAGGAAAAACGAAGAAAAACCCCGGCGCGTGCAACGAATCCAACCGTGGCCGTTCGTTCGATGTAATCTTGGAAATACAGGGGCTTCGAGGAAACTCATTACAACAGCTCACACTTTGTCGTCGTCGACGTCCTCGTCCCTCGTCGTCTGTGTTGCGCCGACTCGAAAGCATTGGCGGACGCTCGTTTCTTATCCGAAGGAAGAGCAGCCATTCCTCCCGGCTCCCGTGTTTGCCAATATCCGTTAAAACGCGACATCGGGATGCCTGCGTCGATGGGCACGCCGCCTGCAGCCTGCAATGCTAAGTAACCAGGCGAAACTTATTCCCGAATCAGTAACTACATCCGCGAATCCCGATAAATCCGTCCGCGATACATACATAAACCCGGGGTTATTTCCCTGGTGGTAACGAACGCGATGAAACGGTACGTATGTACGGTAGATTTCCATTGACTACCAATCACCCTACTTAGGTACAAACGATGTTCCGCGACTCGGAGAATTACGAATCGTGGTCCATCGGGTTCGTTACAGTGTTAATTATCGATAACAAATTGCATCGTTGTTTTCCATTTAATCAGTTCAGACGATACGGTGTTTCGGTCTTACTTCCTTTGTTTTGTACGTGTGAATGCTGCTTTCGGCTATTACCGATTCGGCAATATACCGAATAGATCGAAAAACCGTATCGTCTGAACTGGCTGTTAACGCCTGGAGGAAATTGTTGGATCGAAAGAATCGAGGCGCGGCGAAAGAAAGTCCCCCTTATGTTCTCTGTCTAGCAAGGCGAACGCTGCTCGCAATTTTGTCGTTCTCGGCGTGGTCGTTGCGCGCCGGCTCGAGACCATCGGAGAGGACGACAGTCGTGTCGTTTCCCATCCAGAGAAAGAGAAGAGGAATCGTTCGTTCGGTCGCGTACCTTGCGAACCACGACGCGTAAAGAAAGAAGAAAAGAAAACGTGGGGGGAGAGCGAGAGACACGTCGTTGCGATGGCGAAAGAGGAGAGGAGCGGGGTTCTCTTGGATCGAAAGACGGTGGAAGGGATACTTGGGGATCGTGGCCGATGATGGTGGGAGGAGGGTCGGGGAAGGGAACGAGAAGGAAGGGAAAAAAAGGCACGTCGTCCGAGTGGATGTGATACGCGCGGCGGAGGAGATCGTACGCAATGCCCGTGGCTATCTAGACTTAACTCGTGAAAGCCTAACGAACGCTCTCCCTCCGCTCTTACCAGCTACGTGAATTTCTTCCCGTCCTACGCGCTCGCCATCTCCGCAGACACCTGCGAGATAATGTCTCTCGTAATAGTTGCTGCTGCTGACTGGCACAAGAGATCCCCGCCGGTTCGTAATCTTCGCCAGGAACAGTTTTAGGGGCGGAAAAGTGAGACCATGGCGCGCGGCACCGGAAGCACCCGGAGTTCTACGTGTGATTTACGTGTGTGCACGTGTAAACTAAGCTTCCGGCTAGGGGAAAAAGTAGCGTAGGAGATGTACCTTCTATCACTTGGTAAATTTATTTGAAGTATTGAAATAAATGTTAATTTGACGTAAATTTCAGTAATTCCCGATAACGAGTAGTAGGAGGCCCTTCCCCTATGTCACTTTTTCCCTTAGCCGAGTTTGCAGGTTAGTGTACACGGCGGGCGACTTTCCTGTACTCACGAGGTGTACTTTTCCACGGATGCAGCAGCCGGTGCACGGGCGCACGGCTGCGTGTTTACGGGGGAAAACTCGATGCGTTTCGCGAGGCTCGTAAATACGAGATTTATGGCTGGGAGGAAGATAAATATTTTCGGGTACACAAGTAGCCGGTTAGCATTCGATACTCAGGAAGTAGATCCGGGTGGATGTAAACTACGGTCGTTACGTATTACGTATGACGGCGCTTGTAGATAATCCCTTGGTGAAAGATTAACGAGGATTGATCCCTTCGAAAGCGTGTGGAAATATATGTGTTTATTGTAACCTTGACACAGTTACTGCCAGAAACCACTTCCTAGTTTTCAGTGTTCGCGCCTTGTTTATCGAGGAACGAGACAATTTTACCAGGCTTATCCGCCTTGCATCACGAAGCATACGTTCCCCTAGAAGTCTCGGTCGCATCAGGAACTGTGTATCGATCGCTGGGAACGTTGTAACGTGATTCACTATGATGTTTCATTTATACATTACCGGAGGACGTGCCTGCCAGTTGTACATCGAAAACGGTAGCGGACGAGTGTGCTCGGAGGAAAGGAAACTAAACGAAACCAGAGGGATGTATTGTATTTAACCGTGCATCCGCTCCATTCTCGTTTACAAATCTACCTTATAAGTATATACGGGGTAGTTCATTGTCTGACAGTTTGTGCAAGAAACGCATCGGTGTATACCTCGAACCGAGGACGAAACGAGTCGTAACGAAACGATACGCTCGCGCGGCTCGACACACCGTGGTAATCCGCGTCTCCTCCCCAAGATGTCGAAAAGAGAAAGAACTATGTATATACATAATGCTGGCACAACGACGGCAGTGGCGACGACGACGACGGTGGCGGCGTTGGCGATGGCTCGCAATTTACCAGGCGGGCGCAAAACCATTTCGAGGAGCCGTGAGAGAGAGAGAGAGAGAGAGGAGCACGTTGCCGTAGCTGCGTATGGATCGAGCTTTAGAGGCGGACGCGCGCGGATCTCTTTGTGTAACACGAGGGCCGCGGGGCCATCTTCTTTCTCCTCTCCGGACGGCCTCTGATACCTACTCCCCTCCTTCTATCCACCGGGTTTTCTCATCCTCGTTCTTCTTCGGCAACACAGCGTCTCCTCCTGACGTCGCTCCTCTCTGTCCTCGCGACGAGTCATCTCGTTTAGGTCGTGCAAGCCGTGGCAGGGACGTTGGAGAGGGAGAAGGGAGAACGTAGGACTCGATGGCACGGGGAACGACGGACGGACACGGGGAAAGGGGATCGTTGGCTGCGGCGATGCGAACACCGTCCCCCGTGGTGGAGGGAAGGGCCGGTGAGCCAAGGAACGAGGAGTGGAGCCACGGAAAAGAGAGGCGACAGGGTCGAGGGAGAGTAGCTACGGGACAGAAGGATATATGGCTGTGTGTATTATGTACTCGGGACCCGTGTTACATACGCCTTCGTTCCTCCGTGTGTACAGACGGTAAGGCCAAAGCAGGTGTGTGCGTTTCCTCGTGCACGTTTCCCCGACAGGATCCTCTGTGTATTAGTTCGCCGCCTCGCCAGTGTGTCTATGTGCCCTGACCGACGAACGTGTGCGCGCGCGGTGCAGAACTCACTTCGCACGCAACTCCTCTTAACCAGAACTCGCGTCGAAGACGCGGGGCGGCGAACATGGAATCACGCGACTCGCTTTAAAAATGATCCTGTACGAGATCCTCGGGGCAACCGGAGGAGAACGCGGCTCCGTTTCGCCTGCGGATCGAATAATGGGGCGCCGAATGGATAAACGCAACCGAAGAGAGGAGATTCGACGTGGGTGGAGTAGACCAGAGAACACTCCCAGACAAATTGCGACTTGATAATTATCGCCAGTGCTCGGGACCGGGATATATCGAGAGAGGGCTGATGCAGGCAGGATAGAATGACCAATTTTCTGACGAGCGTCACAACCATGCACGAGGGAAACGCGGTGAACGCGCTCGATTCCGAGGATTGGCAGAGAGAATTGATGGATTTTAGTAAAATCCGATTGTCGATGTAACTTCCTGAACGTGCTTGGGTATTATTGATCTTGATTCGGAGTCTTAATGAAGTCTTTAAGAATCCTCGGTATAAATACCGGATGTCGTAAGGAATCGATATTAATGTCCGCTTAAATACACGCAACCGATTTCACGTTAACGTATACACAATGGTAACATTACAGGGAAATGATTAATTTGAATTTGTAAACATTCTTGTTATAAATTAATCATTAATTAAAAAATAGTTTTTGAATATAACACAGCTATACATTTCGCATTTGACTATTCATCAAGGCACCGTTTCTTTGCATACATAACTTATTGCAATGATTAATAATGTCATTAACATTAAAGTAATTGATATTATTAAATAATTGTTCGATAAAATTGAATTACTCGATTGATATAAAGTGAGGATATTGACTAATAAATATGAATTAATACCATTATGTTTCAATCTATCAACGACTGATCGTCAGATATTGAATTAGTTACTTGCGACATACAGCGGACTCTAGCGATCGGAATCATTAACATTGCTTTCGTTCCGCGATTCCATTGGTATCGACCATAGGTAATACAATCTTTTGATCGTATTTTTATGATTAAATTATTGAATACCTTTTAGCGTTGTATGTATGTATACAGTATGTACATAATTAGACTCTCCACGCAGAAGTGAAATCACTTTATTGGTGGATAGAGGCAAAGTTTTGCGTTCTGTTTACCAAATCCAATCCATGCACCTATAGGGTAGTTCTCGAGTAGCCAAAAAACAACTGTTACGAAATAATTGAAGCATATTCTCACCACTGCGCCAATGTAAGGAATATCTACAAAAAGAAGTCACCTTAATTAAAACATTGACATACTTTGTCGAAGTAATTTTTTAGTTATAAATTTCATAAATTTATTCCTGACGCAGAGACCCCGATTAAACAGACACAAAAAGCGTTTCATTTTTTAAGAATAAGGCAGTCACTTACTACAGGAATATAATATCCACTCGCGTTGTTTCATATTGAGATACGAGTACCATCCAAGAGGCTTCTGGTCTGAAAACAAAAAGTATTATTGTCAAACATGAAATAAAAATAATATCGATCTCTGTAAGTGAAACTAACATTTTCCCCCTGCCATGTCAAAGGTCAACGCGAGCATGGCATCTGTGTCCAGGCTCGGTTCGTGATACCACATCCCATTGATCGCATTTTTTGCCAGTTTCATGAATCCTGGTGAATGTTTATTCAAGTATTTCTCGCGTATTTCGTTTCTGATGTGTTTGCACAATTCCGTCGTTTCCGCCGCTGTTTTGCGAGCGATGTTCATCCTAGAGACATGAAGTCGTTATTGGGAAACGATACGAAGAAATAACAATAATAAAGTGATCTCGATTCGTTTGTAATTGAAGACAATTTCTTTTTTCTATTTCTATATAATTACCGATCCGGTATACCCAGAAGGTAAGCCGTGACGCGCCAGAAATGATTGAAACCCTCTCGTTCCTCGATTGTAGTGAGCGCTAGTCCCATTTTCTCGGGGTTCATAAGGGTGAGGCTCATAAAACCAAATTGTGTGAGGACCATGTCTTTTTGGTATATCGCATTTAGTCCTTCTTTGACGCGTTTCTTACTGACTGTCGCATGTTTCCATCGAATCACGTTCATTGTTTTGAACCATCTGAAATACACACGATAGATAATATTCGTGTGACTATTTTGAGAATTTTTTAGGGAAACCTACCTCGAATTCGAGTCTAACATGTCGGATCTGAACAGCTCGTACATGTGCAACACAGTTTCGGCGTATCGTTTGAAGGACGATCGGACCGTATCGCTCTTCTTCGTGTAATCAAGCACCTACGATGTGAAAATATTAAACATTTCACTGTTAACGTTTAATACGGATGATGGATTTTTGTTCGGCCAATTACCTCGATTATATCGGGAACGCATAATACCATTATCAAGCCGGTTACGCTTGCGGCTGCAAGTCCTAGCATATTCTTCATGAAATACTTCTGACCTCTGAAATTGGATAGATGAAAAATTACTTACGTAGCTTTGCAACATTCGAATTGAGAGGTTCATAACAAAAACAGTCTTTGTAAAAAAATTTTTAATATGAAGCGTATTTTTTCACGATTTAGAATCAAGTTACTGCATTAATGAATTCATATTTATCTCAGTATTATCTTTTAAAAGTTTCTTTAGGTTTCCCAAAATTGGTAATTCTTTCACAAGCGTCGTATTTGTTATGATATTTTCAGTTTCACATCATGCGACCAGATTTCTACGTTGATCTTAATCGATTTGTCGATTTTAATTCTACTCACGTTAAAAATAATCTCATATCCATCCAATGAGGTAAATCGTCTGGAGTGACTGGGACGTACTCCGTACCTATGGTGGATCTATCCTCCATGATCAATTTCATATGTTCGGCCACCGTGGATGTTTGAACTGGACGAAATCAATGCACAAATATAAGATAAACGAACTTTATTATTTAATACAATGTACGTATTAGAATAAAACCAAAATGTTGCTTACCATCGTCGATGTGGCGCTTGTCGTCCATTGTTCACCAGAAAATGAAAACTGTAAAAATGTCATACAAAAGATAAGTAACGCTAACTATAATATAATTTTGCAATGATTCTGCACAAGTATAATTACACTCTTGTTACGTTACTCTATTATCGATGAAATAATGACAAATGCATAATGACAAATCGGTGACCGAATTAATAATATTACTATATCATCAATATATCTGTCAATTAAGCAGAGTAAAATTGAATACAGTTCTTCTTCTATTAAAGATAGAAAGTTAACATCACAAAGAAATACACAAACATCATCGTCCAATGGTCACAACCGGCTATATACTAGATGTCACATGTTATTTGAATAATTCTATTAACTCTACACACAGAAACAATAGCCCTCGGATACGCTTTGTTTTGCTACTTACACGTAACAAGAAAAACCACTGATAGTTAAAGAGTGATGTTACACAATTCCCATTATTGAACTTAATTGATTCAGAAGGCTTCGATGTTGCGTTACACGTTCGCATCGACAAGGAAGCAATACAGTTACTGTAAAAGCCCGAAAATTGGCAAATCTTCGGTTTTACCCGTAAATCCACATTTACCATAGTGAGATGGTAGAAGCCTGAAATGGAAGCGTTTACAAGCATCTTTCAGATTTTTACCACCTAATTTATAAAACTATTTAAACAACAAAAGAATACTGTTCAAAGCATTATCCAACCCCAATCGGTATAATATATAAATTAGGTGGTAAAATTCCAAAAAAAATGCTTGTAAACGCTTTCATTTCGAATTTCTACCAATTCACTATGGTAAATGCTCGGATTTATCGGAAAATATAAAATTTACCAATTTTCGGGCTTTTACAGTAATATGTCAACACTGGACGCGTTCGCCACTGCACGCGCGGCGTGACTGACTTCTGTGCTGTTCAAGTGTCATTAAATCTCCTCGTGTGCAGAATTTTTCTCCCACGCCGAAGACGTTTACGGATTACATGTACGAGTTTTCCAGCTCCACTCGCCAGTAACTATAATTATTATTATCATTTATCATTCGTTTACTCTTTGTATGGGTTTCACAAGATGTACTTTGAACCTGGAAGTAACCATGAAGTTATCTTTAAAGCACAAGCAAGAAGTACAATTTAATTGTATGCCAATGGCTTGATTAATGATAGAGCCAACGGTGTAGCAAGCAAGGTTTCGCTTGTCGGTATACTTCCTTCTCGGTGGTACTGAAGAAGAATGTGTTCCGATCTTGTATTTCACGAAAATAACATCTCGGTTGCTTTAACTTTACAGAACGTTTGTCTAGACGAGACTGAGCACGATGTAACTTTTGTACGCTATAGAGGTTTGAATCTATTGACTAGTCGTGAGTTTTTGCAACTTAATACTGCGGAGATAGTTGGAGAATAGGTGTAATTATGGATGGTGCGTGATTTGTAACAAGACAACAAAAACTTGGTGACACATTTTACGTTTATTTGATAGTTCAGTTGCATGCACCTAAGAATGTGTTCCAGTGAATATTGGTGTGTGGATTCGCTTGTTGGTGCAGTTCAGTTTCTGATTGGTTCTATAAATTTCTACGGTAGAAATGAAGACTTCCGATTGGAGTACGATTGGGTAAGTGTGGTTCCACGACGGAAATTAATCGGGCCTTAAACGTGTATTGTTTTCTAGCATTCCTGAAGATCAACTTTGCACGACAATAAATAATTGTTCCATGGACAGTGGATGTTTGCACGAGATGTATAAGTAACTGTTCAGGAATCCTTGTATACGACCATATTCTCGGGATCAACACGCGACACGATCATTGCGACCTTTGGCTTCCTGCGTTGGGGTCGCAACACGAACGTAGAATTGGGTTGAGTCATTGATAACTTTCATCTTGAAGTTAAATTGAACAATTAACCTGAGTTACAGTCGACAATTTTTATTGCTGTTATGGTTTACGTGACGTTATTCATTGAATAATTCGTTTCTCGTAGAGAAAATTCTTTTTTTGAATTCACCTCGACCTTTGTCAGAAAGATTAGTATAATCTAAGGAATTCAGGCGACACTTTTTCAGATCTATATCAGGTTTACAGACTTTTGGAGACGGTGCATTCCTTTTATTCATCGATCTACGTTTACTGTTGATAGTTCGAAGAACATGGAAGATGTTTCTCGATCCTGCGGTGTGCCTCAGTTCCATGTAAAACACGAAAGTCGCTGCAGAAAATCCAACGAAGAGCAGAGAAAATCCGGCTCCCAGTGGTGTCAGTCCGAGTACTTGCACGGCCCCGTCGTATCTGTCGTGTTCAACGAGAACTTCGCGAAGGTTATAGCTATCGCGTCTGCGTATGACATCACGCAACTGCCAGGATACGATCCCGGTCTCCTTCAACCGCATCATTATCTACAACAAAGCACAGTAAATTCGTTCCATTTTCTTTTTGACGTAGGACCACGTGTAACTCTGAGGATACTACGGGTCGACTTACGGCCTACCGCTTGTGACAAAAATAGGTCCTAATTGAAATCGTTGTATCGTTAAAAATACACGCGATCATGTAATCGTGTTAGCATATTTGTGTAAAAAAGGTAAAGTCCAATTTGCATATAACGTAATACATCATGCCCGTTGCAGTCCCCTCGGTCCCCGTGCTCGGGGGAATTGATGTAATGCTTCTAGGTGTGCCGTTGCGTTTGAATCTATCTATTTTTTTTAAAGCTCACGATAAGATCTATGGAAATGTAGGAAGAACAGTTCGCAGTGGTTTGAACTGAACGTTTTAAAAATTGCTTTCCCGTGAATCGGTGAACACTTTTGACAAAACGACTGTGCGTGGTGTCGTTTTAAAGTTCTCGATGAAATCTATTTGAATATATAAAGAATAAAATAAACGCTTTGAAACCGTACTCGCCAAGCTCATTCCGATTTGCACAAGTCGTAGTCCTACGTTCCAAACTGACAATCAGAACTGAGCCTATCTGTTTTTTTTTTTTTTCTTAAAGGAGTGTGTAGTTTAATTGTAAACGGTGCATTATGTATTACGCGGTTTCTTAGCTGAGCTAATTTTACGTATAGTCAATCAAGCGAGTTCTCCGTAGAGTCACCCTTCGATCTTCGAAGCAACTGCAGGTAAGACGTCACGACATCCAATCGAATAATAACATATTCAGGGAAGCTAAAAATATTATATTCATTAGATCAAGCTGATATTTTACCCTGTTTATCGGTACCAGAAGCCACGGTTGCAGACCGAAAGCAATGTGGAAACTTCCTACCGGGTTCATCATGACCCTGTAATTCTGTTACAAATTAACATTAATAATACCACCAACATACCACATGTGAACTATCCGTAGATTTACATAATTAATCATTGAAAAGCGTCTCTCTCCTGCTTAACGATCAAGGATCGAGGCGTACCTTCAGATAGTCATTCGGTACGTAGTCGTTCGGGAAAAAAGTTGTATCGATGATTTTTCCGAGGACAGCATGGCCATCATTTTTCAACCACATTTCCCATTCGGTAATGTTCTCCAGATGTTGATATCTGCGCGGTAGCTGCGCCGTGGACTGGTCCTACGAGGATCAAGTATAATCTCCAGGTGAGTCGAGATTCTTTTTTTTTTAATCGAATAACGCCGCGCGTACCGTGAAATCGAAGTAATCGTGAAACGGCGGCACCTGACCTACACTTCCCCATGACAAATTCGCGGCGAGGAACTGTTCGACGGTATCGATCCTGAAAACGCATCCCAATAACCATCGACACGTTTTACATATCATTTGCGATACGAGCCACCCTGAAGCATTAGGGCTGATTAGTCGCCCTTAAAGTATGCAAGGCTGTTTTTGAGGGAAAAGGGAAACGAAGGGATTATTATTAAAAAAAACTTTTAACATTCAATTTTAAAAATGTGGGATCAATTAATAGAGGTCCCGAAAAGTGGCCCTGAATTTTTTCAGATTTTTTGGAGGCCTATAAATAAAAACAAGCAGACCTGGACATAGAAAAACCAGGGGATGACGGAAGCGGTAAAAATAACGAGGATCACGCAGGATAAAATTTCCCGATACAGAGTTAAATGAATTATACAAGCTTTTATAAGAATTTTAATAACTGAAAAAATGCTATGTAGAAGATATTACGGCGATAAGGGGGGTGGGGGTTGGAATATAAAATCTTACGAGTTCTTGTACTAGGGGAGGAATGGGGTAAGAAATCGCCAAAATTACCCTTACGTAATTTAAGGACGGCTCTTTGGTACCTATTCTGGTATTCCACAGTTGCCAGTCGGGATGCTAGGCTGCTACAATAAGCGGCAATTATTAACCATCCCGCGATCTGCCATAGAAGTATCTGAAGTTTGTTGCTCGTGATTGTTCTAGGCACGGAGCTGTTCAGGAACCAACCGATCAGCTCGGTCAGGGTAGTCACAAAATTTCGGAAGCCTGGAAAATTAAGATTACCCCTTTGCACTCGATATGTGACTCTCATTCGCCAGTCAGTTTCGTGCAGCGATTCTGGTGCATTGTCACTTTGGCATTATTTGCATTCATTATTAATGTTATTATTATTAACATTCTTAATGAATGCTTTACAAGATGTCATACAAAAGATAATTATAAACCTCAAGACTCAATATTTATTTTTTTACATGATTTAAAAATATATTTAACATTTAAATAGAGCAGTTATATTTGTTAATATATGTATCACATATCTACATCAATTCTTTGAGTATCTGCTTTCCCATAGCGAAAAAGCCTCCGAGTGCAAAGGGTTATGTGTCATTACCCTGACCTTAAAATATCGATAATGTTGTAATAATCCACGCGTACGTTCTCCTCCGTTCGATCGATGTTTCATAATCCGCCGTCTATTACTGGTCGATTGTCATTTCATTCGGAAACTTTTTACGCTCCGCGCGACAGAAAAACATAAATGCCATCCAGCACGCGCGTACACTACCGCTCATGCATATCAGGGCACTTGGTTTGTACGAAGAAACTGTGACGTTTCGTAAAACTGATAATACATTTTAGGCCACTTTTGTCACTTTATAGTAGCATAAGCATTGCCCATCGAACTTTAATAATATTTATTTCAGATTTTCTGTGATTTCGTAATGCCTTGTAGCATTTAACTAAATATTCGATAAGTGTCCCTATACGAATTGCAGAAACGGGATATCTCAATTTTTTAAGGAATTTTGAATACACCAGTTACAGCAGAAAAGGATCATACCTACACATTATCTAGCGAGCTATGTACATAAATAATTTTTTATTACTATATAAACAGGACATGTCCAGGAGATGTCCTGAAAATTTTGGTTTCCTGCAAATTATAATATTCTGATATGTCCCCTTTCTACAGTTAGCGATTCGCATACATAAGGTGCAATTGTTAAATCAATATCGTGGGCTTACGTTTTGGAAATTTCGGATCGATCCAAGCACGGGCGTACGCGTACAGGCTGTGCAGGATTATGGCTAATAGAAGAAGCTCCCAGATCTCTTCGGAGAACGGTCTGGTGAGCGCCCAAAAGTTCGTTCTTCGACGCGGACGGGGCACCAAGAAATGCATGCACACTTCGAACCACGGATCCGATAACTGGATGAATTTATTCTGTTCATAGGTTACCCATATGCTGCCGAACGCGATATCTGCCTATAAAACAATAAAATGAACTAAGAAAATAGAAACTACATTGCGGCTGACAGAAAGAAATGTATTATAATTTTGGTGATCTTACTTTATTCTTGAAAACCATTCCTATAACACCACCCTCCCACATCGTGTCGTTGATTTTTACGCCGAATCTATCGAAAACAAAACTTAATGTCGCTGAAAATAATAATTAGACTGTGGATTGTATCTATTTATGGCGTATACGAGTATGTGAATTATGACAAATGGCAAAGCTAATATCAGATCTAATGCATTTCCTGTCTTATTCTTGTCATAATGAAATCCTTTAAAAATAGAAGAAGTTCCAATCGTCAAATCTGCGTTTACAAATTGTAAAATGTTAGTTTGCTTAAAGTTCGATACTTGCGTGTAATTTCCATCGGGTTTTCTAAGCGTCCACGTGAAATTCAATTTGTCCGCCATTATCAGGAACAGTTGCATTTCGATGCCGTCCCATCCGAAATCTGAGTTCAGAGAAACAGTCGTCTGAACGTTTAATTGAAATATGTAGATCAGATGGATGTGAAAAAATTGGACTTACAATCATCCATTACGTAAACTTCTGCTTGCTCGCCGTCGATTGATTTCTTGATCGTACGAGTCAAGAACGTCATGGGTGGTCGATTTATGCTGTATACCTGCAAGTTCCTGCCACGAAGATCTATCTCATCATAATTATGCAGCATTTCTTCGTATCTGTGTTTATTCAGAACAAAAACAATTATTTTATAGTACGATTTTGACCTTTGTGAGTCAGCGACTTTTGTGTATACCTGTCAATTTTATTAAACCCACGCGGTTTTAGGTAATTCTCTGTCAATTTCCATATCCCTGACATCGAAACAATGTTCACGTTTGCCATTCCATAAGAGGAATCGTTGAATACGTCAGAGTCGTCGGAAGTTTCGTTGTTCACGATAACGAGGATCTCCGTTTTCCACGACAACGGCGATATTCTGGATAGAAGAATGATCTTTTTTTTATATCGAGAAGGTTCTAATGAGTTGATTGTTATACTTCTTCATCAGTCTCAGGATCCCCTTCTCGCTCGATCCCAGCAAGAGGTATCCGTCGCATTTCTGGTCGCTTCGTTTCAAGAGGTACTCGTACGGATAGACACTTCTGAATTGACTGAACAGTGCCATCGAGTCTTCGATCGGGTCTGAATAAAATTTCAAAATCAATACGAGTTTCAAAGCAAAACCTTCTAAACGCCTTGCAATACCAATAACAATGTTCACATTACTCCAAGAATAAGTTTATATTAATTTTATCCTCATAAATACTATACGATATTCCAAAGAAATACGTTCATTCTAAAATTAACAGGCATCGACCTTCCTTGGTACAGCAAGTGTCATAAAAATTATCCTCTGTTCCACCAACCGTTTAAAAGAACATTGCAACACGTCGAAAAAGGGAACGATAATTTAAGAACAATCCTGAAACCATCATCAGAGATCCAGGATTTACTTTCAGGCACAAATAAGTCAGCCTTACGACCGAACACCGGAAGTAGAAATATTTCAATAACGTAAAGCGTCAATGTTCTCTTCATGGTGTACCATAATCTTTTTTAAACGTCACTCCTTGTGTACAGTTTCAGTAGAAAAAAAATAAGTCCCCTGCGAACGACACCGATCTCCTCCGCAAGCAAAAGAAAATCCCTTGTTTGTTCTCCAGATCGTAGGTCCTACGATCCTAACCGCGAGGCTTTTCCGTTTTCACGAACACTCGTGTGTCAACAGCACACGCGAACGCAAGGTCGGGGAATAGGTGTTCTCAGCCGGTGTGCCTACGATTCGACGCAAATTGTGTATACAGTGGGTGCTGAACGTGTCCTGTACAAGTGCAATTAAACAGCTCCGGAACGTCCACGCAGGCTCGAATGCTCAGGGTGCAGTTTGATGTCGGATAAGGACTACGATAAAGAAGCCTGTGCAAACAGAATTATAGCCCCTGGCTGACGGAGCATGTAGGTGATTATAACAAAAGCTCCCACAAAGTTGTGCGGAATTTTATTCGAATAAATAGACAGTGAAAAGCAGGTGTGTCTAAGAACGTCATCTTGACCTTTAAACAGTTTATGAGATTAAATAATTGTTTTGCCTAGTGTCTACTCGTTCAAGAAATATTATTTTATTGTTGAAATTTTTAACCCACGTTCGATAAATTAGGAATGATTTAAACAATAGAATGATATTGTTAACCCACGTTTGATAAATTAGGAATGATGAAGTATTTTTTTGATTTTTTATTCGTTATTTGAAACTGTTTATCTGAGTCCCGGTGCTGTCTTGGCGAACGCTTCCGTATTGCTGACGTCTACGATCATTATTGAAAGCTGAAGATCCGATTCAGGAAAGCTTAATTCCTCGCTAGAATGAAACATTTGCAGACTAGTCTTTTTGAAATTTGATAGGCTCTTCGATTACATGGTATTCTTGTCATCAGATTATACAAAAAATGTGTATCTTGTTTTTGAAGGCTTGAATGTTCTAATTTCTAATGCATGTCACATTGTGTCATAAATGTATCGTGGATATTAGGCACTTAGATTATTAGCAAACGATCTGATGTTTATGCGAGATAAATTCGTAACATTCGATTGACAAATGATGTTTCCACGAAGATACGCAGACTAATCATAAACGACAGTTACGGTGTCTTTTTTATTTGTTCCTTTTCAAGACAATAACGAACATTCGCCAACAACAGCAGTTACGATGAATGGTACTGTAACTCATCTTTTACAACCCTTTTTATCTACAACAGGTGGCGAGAAGTAACGAGTTTCTACTCGGCAATACACCGTGCATCATATTCGATAGTATCTGCCTTTCTCGTTCGATCTATCGCCATCGTGAAACATCATTATACCCCGTGAACACGTAATTCTTTACAGAAATGCAAAACGTCATGTTCATCGACCGATAAAGAGAATTCCGTCTTCGTTCTTGTCAAATATTACAATTATGTAACACCAGCGACAATTCATTTCCAGCAATTATTATAATCGCATTGGTTACAGTGCAGCGACAAAGTTTATCTCGACGATAAAAATTTGCCAATGTTAGAGGGAGAAAACATGAACGCTCGTTGATAACGTTCGTCATTCGAACAGTAAATATTATTCGTGTCCCGTTGAACTCGAATAGTTTCTCTCCGTTCTCCGAGCAGAATGCACAACGTGTTCAAACGAATTTTATGGACGTTGATTTACACATGGAAATATATTTCCGTTCTAGTAGACTGTGACCGCTGATACCGCGTATTGACTTCGTCGAACGTATCGAGTATGATATTTTAAATAAGTTCGCATCGCCGCGCTGATCAACAATTCATACGACCTTCGAGATTGCGTGGATGTTTACCGTGCGTAGAAACGTGGCTCGAGCGATCGCCATACTTTTGGGCAGAGCTCTTTATCTGGGATGAGCCTTTTTGTGTTGCCCACGACGTTCGTGAAACGTACCTCAACAGGTAATTACATTTTTCACATAGAAATAATTCGACTTTGAAAGTTCACCATTTTCACAGTGAATTAACGGTTTTTATAATTCAAAGTAAACACATGAGTCTGCAATTGGTTGTAAGAACATCTCGATTTTCGTATCATTTAACATTCACACTCTAATTATTGAAGAAATTGGAATTATGTGATCGATAGAATATATTGTCCCACTGTGCAAGTGTTAAAAATAATTATCGACGTGTTTGATATTATTTCTTTTTTTACCCACGATTCAGGAACAAGATGCTTCTCACGTGTCGGATTCGTCGGTTTGGGCAACATGGGTGGCCACATGGCGAGAAATCTATTGAAGAAGGTACTACTTCGATTCCAAGCGATACAGAAATTCACCGAAGTCGAATTTTGAATTTATTTAATGCCTACGTTCCAGGGCCACCGGTTGACCGTTTTCGACGTTAACGAAACAGCCGTGTCGAATCTGACGGAGGCAGGTGCAAACGGTGCCGCGAACCCCGCTGAGGTAGCCGAAGTGGCCGATGTTGTTGTTTCTATGTTACCGTCCAATCAACACGTTCTGGATGTCTATAATGGAAGAAACGGTTTATTAAGGTAAACACACGAACATTACTCTATTTTTAGTGTGTTTGAATTTAATCTATGACTTCGATGCTTCAGATGAAATTGAGTTCAATGTTCCTTGAGATTTTCTCTAGTTGTGCTTTCAGTTCAGCGAAACGAAACACTCTTTTAATTGAAAGTAGCACGACCGGCCCGTTCGTGTCTCAAACATTGGCGAACGAGACTGAAAAGTGTGGAGTTAGATTCATAGACAGCCCAGTGTCTGGAGGTACGATACATTGAGAACGAGTATTTCATAGCGTTAATTTTAAGATGTCTTAAATTTCGTAAAGAAGAACAATATTTGTACGACGTTTCTCAGTGATAAACATCTGAAATTTTCAGAGACGAACGATCGAGGATGTAGTATGTTCGTTATTTGTTTACAGGTGTAAATGCAGCCAAAGATGGCACACTTACGTTTATGGTTGGAGGATCCAAGGAGAACTTCGAACTTGCTAAGACTGTTTTAGAGAAAATGGGATCCAGGGTGGTTCATTGCGGGGACATAGGAATGGGTCAAGCTGCAAAACTGTGCAACAACATGCTTTTGGCTATCAGCATGATTGGTACTGCAGAAGCTTTGAACCTTGGACAGAAGTAATGTGTTATAGGTTCAACAACGATTGCGTAACTGACATAACCATTTCATTAAACCGATTGCGTTACAGACTGGGCTTAGATGCGAAGGTGTTAGCTGACATCGTGAATTCTAGCACCGGCAAATGCTGGTCGTCAGAATTATATAATCCTGTTCCTGGGATCCTCGATAATGTCCCGAGCTCAAAGAATTACGAGGTAGTTGACTATGTGTATTTTCACGTTTTTCAATGCTTTAATTTCTGTGGTTTCTACATGCAAGTTTCTTAGATAAATTTTCTTCCTCGGTTACGCTATGATCCCTGAAACGGAGGGTTTAATTGTAGGGTGGCTTTGGTACAACTTTAATGGCTAAGGACTTGGGTTTGGCGCAGTCTGCCGCAGCTAAGGTGGAAGCGACCATTCCCTTGGGCTCTCTCGCCCATCAGATCTATAGAGCGATTATAGCGCAAGGATTTTCGAAAAAAGACTTCAGTTTTGTTTATCAGTTCTTGAAAGGACAGGAGTGATGTTACAGAAAGAATTTTTTTATTAAAGATTTTTTTGTACAGAATTTCGGCTCACCACCGCTAATTTGTTTAGTATTCTAATAGATATGTACTATTTTTCATAATAATTTGCAGTATTAGTTTCATAAGTAAATTAACGGTGGACAAAAATCATTTATTCCATTGGAGTACTGGATGGAAGAAACAGATGAGTAGAAGGCACTAGGGGAGGCACACGGGGTCTCTGGCGCCTCCACTGGGGGTACTATGACCCCACGCTCTCACCACACGGAATCTCTGGTGTCTCCACCGGGGGTTCTATGACCCCACTCTCTCACCCAAGGGGTCTCTGGTGCCACCTGCAGGAGTTCCGTGTCCCCACGCTCTCGCCACACGGGGTCTCCGACGCCACCTTCGGGGGTTCTGTGACCCCACGATCTCACCACACGGGACATCTGGCGCCACCGAAAAATAGTTTGCGCCGAATGTTAACGTATCTTAACGATTTATATCTCAAAAAATTGTTCCCGATTTGCTCTCTCCGAATATGAAATTCCTCCCATCGCACCGTTTATATTTAATGAGATATTCGCAAATAAAGCAAAAATTTGTTATCTGCAAAATAGATGGGAAATGGTCTTTTTACAACCAGATCATGGTACCAAAAAATTGCTCCTGATCTGTTTTATAATATTCAATGGTCAGATAATATTGTTTAATATTGTTTTTATGAATATGTACATGTATTATTATGTACATTTGAGTAAATTATTTTATTATTCCATTGTTATTACAACAGTTTAACAGTGACAACGAACGCATGTATATTTTCAAATATCGAACTAATAGTATATTTTTCTTCTATATTATTACATATAAGTGAGTAATACGTATTAAAAACGTAATCGAAACACAGATTTCTATTAC